TGCATCAAACCACAACATCATTTGTTGCCCTTTGCAAAATTTCAGAATCCACACTCTTCTGCCCGCCCCTGAAACTGTGGAAGATCAAAAGAGGAGAGAAGTTTTAAAAGTTTGACTTTTGAAATAACAACGCCTCGGTGTTGTTAGTAGGAGATAAATCTGTGTATCAGAAGCATGAGCATGAGCATGAGTGTCCCATCTGTTGATACAAAATCTAAATCCTCATTATGACCTTTAAAGGAATAAACTCTTTGTTGGTCAATTCATCCTTCGTCACACATCAGTTGTCCTGTTTGACTAAAAAAGGATAAAATTAGAACGAGTAGAAGTTTTCATTTTAAAGAAGAGGCCCAGAGTTTATCTGCAGAGCTTTTTATCTTATCTATCTTGTCAAGAAGTGGAAGTGATGCCCAGTAGAAGACTGAACCAAGATAAACTAAATATATACACATAAAACTGAAAACCAACTGTATTATACTGAGTATTTACCAGGGAAGAACAAATACCAAAACTTTAAATAACGACATTTAAGAAATCACTTGTCTTAGGTGATAATTTTTTCCTTAACAGTCGATATCAAAGTCTGTCTTACAGAGGTTATTAGTTTTCTCTGTAAGTCAACTTATATTTAGACCGTGGACTGTAAATAAAGATGGATGACATGACAGCTACTTTAAGTGATGCCAAAGTGTCTCAATCGCCCCCTGGTGGGTGGCTGCAGTGTAGGTCATAAACCCTGCCTGCTTCATGAGATGTACCAAACTAAAATGTTAAAGTCATATAAACTTCTTAAAGAAGTTAGGTAGTTCTTACCCCACTCATATTTTGATGAAGTATTTGATGCAATAAAAAGTGAGGTGAAACATTGGTCTGATTGGTTGAGTGCATGTTTTCGGCAGAACCTCGATACCGTGGCTCTACTCCGACATTGCTCCTGCATTTTATTCCAAATGTGAGTATATGTCAGCATCCGTATCCGGGATAATTTGGCTTCAGTGGGATGAAGTGGAGAAGGTTAGTAGAGACACCTCATCCATCTTTATTTGCAGTCTTTGTCTCAGATTTACAAACTTCAGAGACCCATGTAAAACTCCACAAACCACCCAGATTTGTACATCAGCAGGAACATAGCACAACAATAAAGTAAAGGCAGTGCTCTGTTAATCTCTGTTAATCTTAATGTGAGCGTTTAGCAAAAACATGTTGTCCTTTAAACCAGGTAATAATCATCATAATCACCACAATCCTGCAGCCCTTCTTACTAGTAACATTAGAACATAAACAGTAATATGAGGAATATTTTAATATCTTTTCATTTTTGATTTTTTTCCCCAGAACAACTTTTTAATGAAATTGTTAAATGGATGATTTTTTGTAGTCCAGTCTGAGAACAACCCGTTATACATCCCTGGTCTGGGAAACACTGGTCTATGGTTATAAATAGTCTAATGTATTTTTTCTATTACTCTGCTAATCATCTGCAAAAATAATTATCTCATCACGATTGTTTGTTTGTTTGTGTGTTTGTTTGTGTGGAAACAAGCCCTCAAACATCAGTTGTGCACTTTTCTGTCGTCCATTTTTCCTCCTCCAGTTTGATTCATCTCTCACAGCAGAGTCCTCTCACAGTAACACAAGAATATCAAGTAAAGAACGAACAACAATTTGTTGTTGCATTGTTTGTGTGTGTGTGTTAGCCTCAGGGTTGTACATCTTGTGGTTCAGACTGTCAGAATCTTCCATCCTGTCTTTTTTAATCAAGAACAACGCAGACTGTTTCTGTTCTCACGACTCGTCTTCCTTCTTTTGCTCTTTTGTGCGTCTTCTGTGTTTTACTTTAATACAGGGTTTTTTTTTTTTTCCCACGCAACATAAGACGTTTCTTTATCCTCATCTCTGCTGCGCTGTCTCAACATCCGTCTTCTCTCCTCCACTGATTTACACCAAACATACTGTTACTGCGTTGGTCTCATGCAGAGAGACACAGAGTGACTGCATTAATCTCCACTAATGTACAGCTCACTCCATCTTCCTGGAGAAAATGCCGGAGAGAGCAGACGACTCTCTCAGTGAGAATCAATACATTTCAGCCCACGTCTCTGATTTGCATTAAAGCCACTGTGTGTTGTGCTGAAGCTGAAGTCCTCCTCTTCAGGTTTCAGTATCTGTTAAAGCATAAAGCAGCTGTGACCCTGTTCCAGCCCCACGATGGCAGCTGAGTGTTGAAAGAAACTGAAAAACAAATCTGAAAGTAGGATTATCATCATTTTAATCAAGCAAACATGTAAAAGATTCTGTATTTTCTATTTAGATGTTTGTATGTCTAAAGAGAGTCTAAAGGCATGTGTGGAAATTAAATTCTTGTTCTATTCTTTAAACAAAACTTCTGCCAAATTCCTAATTCAACAGACGCTGGCATTGAGGGGCTGAGAAGCAGATTTAAGAGAAATCTGCAAAGTTGTATGTTTTAAGACGCATTCCAGGGTCCGTAACAGTTTCCCGAAATTTTGCTTTTTTGACTGCATGGCCCATTTCTGGGCATCACAAGAGATGTTTCACTGAATACATGAAAACTTCGGGAAATTCTTAATCTGTGTGGAAGAGTATTAGAGGAAATGAGAGGAAACAGCTCTGGTTGTTTAGTGCCTGTGGTGGAATCCACTTCAAACCTTACAGAAGAAATCAGGGAACATGAGTGATGACCAACATGACAGTTTGTGGTGAATTTACAGTTGTGGTGGACGGAGCGCTTGTCCTCATTGGTCAGTTCCTCTTTCGTGTCCTCTGCGTCACCCTCGTCCTATAAAGGTCAATGTTTATTGTTTTAAACTGTAGCGTCTCGTATGTCCCCTGTTCTTCCTTTGTACTGAACATGGGAAGTCCTCTTGTGATGTTGTCACGTAAACGTCCTGTAGCTGTGTGTAGAGAAGCTGCTGGGACTATTTCCAGCTGCAGAGAGCAAACAGATAAACAAGGAAAGTTTGATTTGTTTTAATTTAAAAATGTCTTATTTTATTTATGACAACTTTATTTTAGTATTTGACATTTCTAAATCACGTGGGCCAGTCTTCACGTCAGACGGCTCAGAGAAAATTCTGTCCATTTGTGTCTACATGTGTGTTTTCATTAATCATTGATCAGTCTACTTACCAATATGGATTTACAGGGCTTATTCATACTCTTCTCACATAGTTTAACTTTATAATGAATGTAAACATGATGTGAGGTTGTAGGTTAGATTCTGACTTTTAGCATTTTTCTACAAAAACTACCAAAATGGTAGATTTGATGCATATTTCTTTTTAACTTTGCAATTCTTTAACATTTTTGTGAATTACTCAGGATAAAATATTGCAGTGTGTTCAACTACAGGCCAATTCTGCTGCAGATCCAGATAATGATCCAGAGAGTCAAAATAAGTATTTTAATGGAAACAATCTTTATTTAGATACTGTTCAATACCAAAAAGATCAGGAACCTGGAGGAATTTGTGTAAGTTTCAGTGTCTTTGATTTTCAAATTGTTTCACATTTTGAGACAAATAAACGAACCCACTATTACATTTTTTGGGTTTGTTCCTTTCAACTATATATCAGAGAATGGATATTGCATTGAATTTACATGGTATCTGATCTTAGTACATGTACATTCACTCACACGTGACACAAAAGCTCTTAATTTGTTTCCCATCTTAAAAACCTACAAACCACCTCTGATGTTCCTGAGTCCTGGTTTATTACGAGGATGTCCTCTTCACCTCAGGTGTTGACAGACAACAGGACGTTATGACCACAACACCAGTGTGACCTGACCCTGCTCACCTGCCTGCTGCTCACTGGATAAACACCAAGATCTTCCTCCTGGGCTCTGACCTCCTCCTCCTCCTCTTCCTCCTCCCTTTAAAGGCAGAAATGACATTAGTTCCATATCATCATTCCAGCTTGATATCTGTGTGTCATGGCCTCACCTTTTGTGATGAAGAGCTGAAATAATGAGCACAATCATGCTTGTCTTCTTCCGTTTGAGGTTTGATGATGATGATGTCTGAGTCTCAACTGTCTCCAGAGAACGTGTTGCGTGGAGAGCGATGAAGAGAGCAGAGTTTACAGCTAAAAACACAACATAATGAGTTGGTTCTGGTTTAATAAGCAGCTGCACAGAGAGACACTGATACCTCGGCCACTGCAGAAGGTCAGAGTTCAGTATGTGTGCGTGTGTGAGTCTCTGTGGGTTTGTTTTCTCATGAAAACAGAAAATTCAGGGGGAAAATAGAGACAAAAAACAATTGGGAGTGTTTTTACTTGGGAAAACAAGTAAATATCAACTGAATCATCTCATGTGAAGAAATCAACTGAAGAACAGCAGCAGTAAGTCATCAACCTGTTATTAAGTTTTGATTTGTGCATATTTAGATTTTCTGCTTTCTTTAATCAGGTGATGAACTAGATCTTATTTATGGAAGTGTCTCATCTGTGGTGGTGGCAGAACCCCCCCCCTCACCTCAGGGGGAGTGATCTTGTTTATTATTAACTCCAGGTAACGCTGTGTGTGATCTGGGTATCTGACCTTCACATGTTTACCAGTGGATCATAAACCTCTCAGCACAGCCATCGATCACCTCCTGATCAACACCAAGTTATTTTTTTATCATGCATCAATGGTTTAATGTTTTAGTTTTTGCAAAGACTTTGTGTTTACTTGGACTCAAGGACGAACTTAATATCTCAGGATCACGAGAGAATTTCTTCAGATCTGGTAAAAGCGTTCACTTGGACTCAAAGAACTGGTGAGATTTTGGTAGTTTAAGGTCATAGGTCAAAGGTTCAGGTCATAGTCACCCCCAAGACTTTGCCTTAATACCTGTTAACACATTATCCCGAGAGAAGCTTTTCAAATTTGGCACTAATGTTCACTTAGACCTCATTCTAGGTAATGACAGTTAATTAAGAGCCATTTTAAGCAAATCATTTATTGAACACATTAGCACAAAAAAACACATAAAGATTATTACCCACGTTTATTTTTATCTTATATCCTTCTTAGCCAATTCATCGGTGGGAAAACATCCTCCACTCAGTAGCACCTGGGTAAAAACTTTATAAACAAAACAAAAAGGCAAAGCACAACTCAAGCTCACACAGCACAGTCGCCCACGTTAGCCTTCTGTCGCTAAAAGTGCCACAAGAATATTAATAACATCGTCATTACAGTTGAATATTAAAATAACACAGCCACTTGGATATACTGCATAATATATTTATATCAACTCTAGAGACCTTTTTAACATGAACAGCATCTACAGGAGGAGCGCAGCCTCAATCATGCTTTCTCTTAGCGCCATCTAGTGCCCTCTCAGCACAGTTACAGTAGAAGTACAATCAGAAACACAGCAGCTCGGGGGGGGGGAGGGGGCTCCGACCTTTACAATCTCTAACAGGCATCTGTAATACTCATTAATTATTATTATGCACCGTAGGAGTCTGGAGGTCAGACCGAGGGATGGAAACGTGAAGGATGTGAAGGAAACAGGGTCAGAGTAACTGTTTTAAAAAGGGGAATACCACCTATTTTAGGGATTTTTATACAATCATCCTCTGCACCAGGAGTGGTCAGGTGGTTTTTGTAAACATGTGTCACTCGGACTTAAAGCTAGAAGCTAATGAAGAATAACCTTGGAAGATCGTACCTTGAGAGGCTACATTCTGTTTTACTACGTCACACATTAACAGGTTTATTTCTATTAGTTCGAGCTGTGCACTGTGCACAACTCTCTCCCGGAGTGAATTCTTAAAGGGCTGCGTGTTTTAACCCTGTTATTTCAAATCAAGTGCACTTTATATAACGGTGCAACAATTTTGCACAAACAGTTTTTTGTTTTTTTTTATACATATTTAGGTGTATTTTCAAAAACGCATTGTTCCCATGCATTCAGTGTGATTTAAGAATAGTTGCATGCTCTTCTCGTGCAGACCTTTTTTTGTAATCTGTTTTTAAATCGTCCAACTAAATTAACTTTCAAGAGTCTGCAAATTGATTTAAGATGCTTGATACAACAAAAGACAAATATACCCTAATATTAATATAAATACAACCCTGATAATGTGTGTGTAGAAAAAAAAACTGTAAAGTGCACATGATTGATAATAAATGGGAGAAAACACACTTTAAATAGGTGGATTCCCGTTTCGGCACAGTTAGCCCTAACGCTAAAATCACAGGTTCACTGTGTTGCCATAGGCAACTCCCAGCTTTGTAAGTGTCGTTATTTTTTTTTATGACTCACTTCCTGCCTGTTTTCTCTACATTCTATTACAAACAGCTGGACACTAAATAATATTTCATTTATTACAATGATGATCTCGTCTGGTGTGAGGTGTGGGTCTGTCAAGTTGCGTGTGTTTAATTCCCGGTAGGCACAGAGGAAGTGCTGCCCCCCCGGTGGCAGGAGGGGAAAACAGTGAAGAGGGGGACAGGGGTCAAGTAAGATGCTGGATTAAAGATGTGGACTGCCCATCTCGTTGTCTAGGCGACCACCCACTGCAGGATGCTGGTGTCTTTCCCGCCGGTGGAAATCAGGTGACTGTCGTCATGCAGGAAGGCAACATTGGTCACGTGACTGCTGTGGCCACCGTACTCGTGGCTCGGAGCCTGGAAATATGCAGAGGAAGGAAGAGAAATGTTTTTTTATGGTGATACAACAACAACAGGATCAGGTGTTCAGCAGCAACACTCAGCTTGTTTAGGAAAAAACTAACAATCGACACATTGACTGTCTATTGCTATAAACAAGTTAATTCATTACCATTTAACTTGGAATGGAAATACACCAGATCTGAAAATACACCTTGTCCCATTGTCTAAAGTTTGAAAGACTCAACACAGCAAAGTTTGCTTTATGAGAACTTTGAGGCATTAACCACCACGAGTACTCGTTAAACTTGCATTACCCCCTATTCTCAAACTTACTAGCACAGTGGATAAATTCATTTCTTAATATGAACTTCGAGTAGAGACCTTTTCCCTCTCAGATTCTTCTGTGATGACAGTGACATGATCTTAAGAACCTATCGCAATCAATCAGTTTGTCATGAAGTGCAAACGTCAGTGACTTTTGGTTTTAGCCACTAAATGTGTGTAAAACTGTTAAGACCAGTGTTTAGAACAATAAACACGTTGGAAGTATTTACAGTGTCTGTGCTAATGGCCCCCAGCTCGTCTACACAGACAGTTAAGTTTACCACTCCAGTTTAAATGGCTGTGGCTTAAAAGTGTAACTTGCTGTAAAGAATCCACAGTCTCCACGTGTTTGTGGGCTTAAAAACACCTGGAAGAAATTGGGTGAATTATAAGTCTGCTGGTGATTCCACGCTGAGCTCTGTGGTTGAGTCTTTTGTTATTTCTGCTGAGCTTTCATTGTGTTCCACTGTGTTCGTTTACACTTGATTACACCGCGGGCGGAGGAGAGCAGCGGCTCGGCTCAGGATGTGAACTGACCCTTGGTTGAGAGCAGGGGAAGGAGAACAAGTGCACTTTGCCAAAGTCGTCGGCAGAGGCCAGCAGGGATCCGTCATTTGACCTGCACACAGCGTTGATGTCGGTGCCGTCCGCTCCATCGGGCCAGATTCCTGAGAGATGGAGGGAAAGTGAGTTCAGTGAACGGGTGAGAGAGATGAAGAAAGTCCTGTTAGTTTTATCCACCTACCAAAGGTGTTGAAGGCCAGAGTGCAGGTGGAAGAGGCCCACTCCAGGTTACGCACCGTGTCCATGTTGGTCACATGTTTACCACTGGAGGCCTCCCCTAAAAAAGACAAACTTCATTCAAGCTCTGTGATGTGAACAATCCGTCTTTTGAGATTATTTCATCTTTGAAAAACATACGAGCTCTGAGCTGACACAGAAAATCTTATGTCAAAGCAACAGTATTCAGCTTTTAACCTTGAACCAGCAGCTTGATTTAACTGTGATGGTTCAGAGACCGTGACTATGGAGAATGTATCCTCTGTCATTCCCTGAGCGTCTGTTCACTGTAACTCTGGTGAGTGGGTTCGATCTCCTGTGAGAAGAAGTGACTGAGAAAAACCACTCTATCACTCGGACATGTGGCTGCTCAGTGAGTTGCACAGTGTTGCTTTAAAGTGTAAGTGACGTACAGAAGAGGATCTCGTAGTCTCCTGAGTTGGTCATGAGGTACTGGCTGTCTGTCGACCAGTCCAGGTGGGTGACGAAGCTGGAGTGACCCTGAGGACGAAGGAAAACACACGACTGAACACGTTAGAGAACAAGTGACTGAGAACTCTCACGCAGTTTGTTTTCTAAAAGTTTTGGGTGAGAAACAATAAGAATAAAGCTCTTCATCTTTCTGCAACTACTTCACGTAAATAGGATTTTTAGGAACGTGTACGTACGGTGCATTTCCCCACGCGGCTGTACTTTCGTCCATTCTCCGTCACAGCATAGATGTAAACAAAGTTGTCGTGGGAACCCACAGCCAGGAAGTTACCGTCTAAAGGCACAAGGTTAACAGAAATTTTACATGACAGCTTGTGTTACATTATTTTCTGAGAGTGTGTGTGCTGGGTCGTGAACATGCAATGTTTTACCTGGAGAGTACCTGATGTTGGAAATGATCTCATTGCCGTCTGTGTGCATAGAAACAAGATCCCGGGTGTCAGTGTCCAGCACCAACCACCTGCAACACACACGGACGACTTGGGGAGTATGTACAGTTTTTAGGACATTTTATGTGTATGACATTATATTTTCAGCTTTTTTAATACATCGTATCTGGTTTATTGTTACTTCCTCTATGTGCAATTCCCTTGTTCTGCTGCTGAGACACAATAGTTTGACAATTGAGATCAATAAAGTACATCTATCTATCTAAACAATGTATAGTCCAAAAAACGAATACATTTACATTATACAAAACGATAAATCTTCACTTTGGTGGAGATATTAATATTACTAGATTTTCATTATAATGTTCATTGTATTGTATTTACTTGTTTATTTGCCCAGGACAATCATTTGTTATCCCTGATAAGATATACGTTAACCAACCAAAAACAAATAAATAATTAACTCCATTTTTCTGCACAAATCTAATATAACATGTTTCCGCAGAATGAAGAATCTGTTAATCAGCCACATATGCTCTGATATTGTTATTAAGTGTATAAATATGATAACTATCAGAGTAGTTACAGTACATATTGTATGAGTATTACTTTTCAAATATTATATTAGATAGCGCTGCCTGTAAAAGTACTGTAAAATGTATGTTCTATAGCTTCTCATGATTGTTTGAAGATATTGATCAGTTTAATTGTTTAATTGTTAATTGTTGTTCCCCTGGTTGTGAATGTTGTGTTAAGTGTTTGATGCTGACCTTCCAGTCATGGTCCCGACTGCCAGCACGGCTCCGCTGGGATGGAAACCTACAGACCTGCCTGGATCCTGCAGCAGGGAGGATGAAGATTGAGTTTAATTAATTATAATGATCTTACTATTAAAAACAGAATAGCTCTGTTGTTCGATGTTTCCTCCTCACGTCAATACTCTTGCTCCAGAGAGGCTGATGGGAGTTGGTGTCCCAGAGGTGAACCTGTTTGTCCTGGGAGCAGGTGGCGAACTGCTCCATGGACGGATGAACATCCAGACCCCACAGCTCGTCTGTGTGACCCTGGAACACATCACGTCTCAGTCAGTTCAGGAAGAAGGTGGAGAAAATAAATCTATAAAGTGTTAGTGTAGGTAGGTAATTTAAGTGTGTGTGTGTGTGTGTGTGTGTGTGTGTGTGTGTGTGT